TCATCCACCGAATACTGTTTTAATTACTGATTACACGTAAACACCAAAACTTAATGATACAAAGTGATAGGCAAAAGATAGAGGTGTATATATTTAGTTCTCGATCGATTTTTCTTCGTAGATTGTAACTTTATTAAATAATCATGTTAATTAAATGTTTGTTGACAACAGAATCGCAAATTATATTTTGTATTTTTTTTTAGTTTACTTATATGTCAATAATCGTCATGAAAAAAGAAAAAAACAAATTAAGAAGTTAATTGAATATTGTTTCTTATTACAAAAGCCTAGTTCGACTCGCATCTTAACAATTTTTTGTATTATGTATTACAATCATCAACTGACATAAAGATAATTTTATTCGGTCTAGCATAAGTTTTAACATGTATATATATATATATATATATATATATATATATATATGTATATATATACATATATATATTTATTATATAATATTATTCTTAAAAAAGGTAATATTGGTATCTAAATAAACTACCTTAAATAAATACTTAGTCTCTACATATTGTAGACTTTTACGTTAGAACTTGCTTTGCGTGAAACGATTTTATTTATTCTCATGATGGTAATGTAAATTTTTTATGTTTACAATACTAATATAGACTTTGTTACTTTTATTTATTCTTCATATTTTCCATGTCGTAGTATGAGAGGTAAATTCTTGTGTGACATTTTATTAATATTCAATGCTCACAGTTACGAAATATCTTTTGTTACATGTAATCTGTATAATCTGTATAATCCATACTGATATTATAAATGTGAAAGTTTGTTTGTTTGTTTGTTTGTTTGTTTGTCCTTCTTTCACGTCGAAACGGAGTGACAGATTGGCGTGATTTTTTGTGTGGACGTAGTTCGAGGGCTGAAGCTAATTCCCACGGGAAAACACTTTATAATACAATCGAAATAATTGTTTTTGATCAGAATCACTTGGAACTTGGTATTAATGCTCTTCAATAAAATTAAATAAATACGTGTTTCAGCATTTTTCGAAATTCATCCTATAAGATGGTAAAATAGAGGATGAAAGTTTGTGTGAAACTACCTTTTTAGAGATTTTTTTGTAGTTTTAGCTCGAGTAACTAAATTAAAATTCTGCTAGTATTATAAGTTAGTATAAGTAGTAGTATAAGTTTTTGAGTTTGTATGGATGTTTGTTACTCTTTTACACCAGAACGGCTAAACGGATCTAGATGAAATTTGGCACAGAGGTAGATTATAGTCTGGAATAACACATAGGCTACTAATATTTTTATCGCGGAAAAATATATGGTTCCCGAGAGATAGATTTCTTTTTGTTTTTCTAGAGGCGAACCCGGCGAGGGTGAGGCGCTAATTAATAATATGTAGACTAATAATAGTATGTTCGCTTTGAATGAATATGCCTTTTATACAGGTAATATATATATATATATATATATATATATGTATATATATATAATGCATCTTATATATATATATATATATATATATATATATATATATATAATGCATCTTAGATTTGTACGGAATTTGTAGGAAATAGTATAATAGTTATATATATACATCTGATGTTGCAAAATTTACTTTGACAAACCAAATTCCAAAATGTTCTCCTTAAGGCTAATTCCTGTGGATTTATGCTAAGCCCACGCTCGCTGAAATACGGCGCACGCCTATTTCAACCCTTTTATGTTGAGGATTTATTGAAGTGACTTGAACACGCTTCAATGAACCGGCCGTATACCTTTGCCCGTTTGACATGTAAGTCATACTTATCGTGATCTATGACATGACAATGCAATAGTAACCGTGAGGCCATGCATACCACGCTCCAAAGATTACAAATAGTAGCTACTACCTACCTCTCGGTACGAAGTTTTGCATCGGCGATTTCTCAAGAAAATAACTCACATTATGATATTGTGTACCGCGCTGCACGTGCAATACTAAGTGTCAAAGTGAAATTTTTGTTTGTAGCATTAAATTAGCTACATTATTGCTAACCAATGTATTATGCGAGTGTTTTCGCGATGATTTTGACAAATTTATAGATATTGAGTATATTCAAAATAAACAACTGCATGTATATCGGGTACAAATTTCCATAAACAGATCGTGAGAGTAGCATAAGACAAGCGTCGCCAATACTTCATTTCCCTGGCGAGCCGTTTCTGGCTTCGTGCCAACGTTTCCGAGAATACGGGAGAAGGTTACGCGATGTCTCGCTTTAGTTTATATGCTTAAATCATCTCAAATATAATATTTTTACAGGTATTAGTTGATAAGTGTAGAGTGAGAGCTTAGAGTAGATTAGGTCTAAAATTTTGAATTATTGCCACTGTAAACGTTATCGTTTAGAATATTATAAAGTTTGATATATTACAAAATAATATAAGCCACTTTATATCTAAAAGACATTTGCAACGATTGCTTAGTCAGTGTCTGTCAAGTGACATGGTAAATGCGACGTGTGATTGTCGCATCCTTATCCAGGACGCCCTCCATCCTCATTATGTTGGCATCAATACGTTCTAGCGAAAGAAAATTTATCGTATAGAAAGCAATAGAGTAAATCTATTTGATATTAAGATCAATATGTTCTCACGCAACGTCTCTCGGGTGCTATCTGTTTACTCGTGGAGTGAGGTTAATTAAATAGTTACGAGAAGCGATAACAGTGACGTCCATTTATAGACGCCGGGCCACCTTATCGACTAAGTCATCTGATAGTGATCTACTTACCACGCCGAATCACTCACGCTCGTAGGTGCATTTGAAAATGCATACTTATCTCTTAAAATACCATAGTTATTGAATGCATTTACTAATTATAATAATTTCTTATAAGTATTTATAACAATTTAACAAATTTATCATTGTTTATACACAAAAGCTATGTACGAGTATACGTACATAATACATATGTAAATTGTATTCATGAACATAATAATATGTTCACTTTCAAAAGAATGATATAGTAATAAAAAGTAATGACAATGTAGGAATATTTTTTATTAATAATTAAAATTCATATAATCATTAACTATCATACATAACAAGTTTAACTTTAAACTGGAATACCTACTCGTTGTATTTTTCTTATATCAATCATTAACAAAATATCTTATATTTTATATAGGATGTAAAAAGATATGTTCGGATGTAAATAGATAAATATAAAGCCTTCAAGGTATCACTCGGTTGTTTTCTACCTTTCAACGCTACAACCTGCACTTTTATTTTTAGACGTCCTCTCGAGTGCGGTATGTAAATGTGTCTTGTTAACCCGCGAACACCGGTTTCGTCTATCATATACTAAACTATTAATTTTACATGTGTAAAACTATCACCACGACTATTAATTTTAACAGTTTTAGTTAATCGTTTATCATTATCACGCCATCTTCAATTTTGAACGAAACAAGAGTACTTACTAGCAGTGGGATCGGTTTATTTTGAGGCTTTTAAAGCTTTTTTGCGGTTATATCTGTACTTATGAATTTAGGTACTGTTCCAAGATAAATTGTAATTTTAAAGAATTGTGTAAAAGTGTATATAAACTAAATTTTTTGATGTTGTTTTTAAGAAAAAGTAAACGATACACTGCAATGGCAAGAAATAATACATTTAAAATTGTTCAGTATTTTATGACATAAAACGTAGAATAGACTATCCTTTAGATAAACATTTCATTTAGGTCCTATTCTAATACGAGGAATCGTAAATTTTAAGGACCCGTGAAGTTAATCTAAAATTTCTGTTAAATAAAAGATAAGCTACACGGTATTTATCGCATTGCCGTGTAATTAATTAAAATTTCAAGTGGCATTTTAAATCGTGACCGCGCCTTTAAATTAATTAATAAAATTTCCAACTGTTAAAACAATTGTCCACGATCGTGATACATTTATCATTGTGGTGCATTGGAAAGGTTGCAACTTTCCAGCTATTCGCTCTGCTGATATAAATCCGCCGAGTGGAGGTGTCCGTTATAACTAAATGCAGGTACAACGCTGTTTGTTGGCGCTCGCCTCCCGCTGCTTCCCAGTTCAAGAAATGACAAAGTTAACTAATTATACTCTAAACACATTTTCTATATCTAGGGAAAACGTGAAATTGTTATTTTTTATACTTTGAGAACATTGATTTAATGAAGCGTTGAAGTAAGAATCCTTACTCCATTTTTCACTTAAATCAGTCTCTAGAAATCTTAAAATTGCCATCAAATAAGGACTAATCGGGCATATTGGTCCTCATAAGATTACACTATAAAAAATTCGCATGTATAAGGAAATAAAAGAGATTGTTCAGTATATATGCATATATGCATATGCATTGTACACACATATAGACGTGTGCAGCGAATTCTCTGTTATAATCTGACAAAGTTATGGTCAATATAAACCATCACTGGGTCCTAAAATTGAAACTATGACCCCTTACTTAGTAGAAAATTCCAATCGGCCAATGTAGGTGCTGCATTTATATTATTTATATTTATTATATTAACGTACGTTTTATATTGTTTTCAGCGAAATCCTAATTCTTTTTCTAAAATAAGAGTAGCCTAAGTTACTCCTTATAACATCAGCTATCTGCCAGTGAAAATCCCGTCAAAGTCAGTCCAGTCGTTTCAAAGATTAGCCGGAACAAACAAACCGACAGATAAAAATAAAAAAAATGCTTTTATATTTATAAGAATTAGCCTGCATTTTAATACTATCTCTCTTACTCACTTAGGTTGACTGGAAGAAATCTCTTCTAGAGATAAGTCCACCTTTGCTAACTAATTTTATTGTTTGTTACTCTCTGTATCTTACATATAAGTGCAATAAAGAATATTTAGAATATCGTATATAATTTCATATGCATTTAGTAAAAAGCTGTTATTTTGACATTACAAACAGACACTTCAATTTTATTTACATGTATAGATTAATATTATTAAAGGTTTTTTTGGTATTTAAGAAATAAATTTCTAAATTTTCTTGTTACAGAATGCCAGTTCGGGAAACAAGCGAAAGAACTCGGGTCAACATGGTTTGCAGACCTGGGCCCGCCTTTTGGTGTGATGTACTGCATCAAATGTGAGTGTATATCGGTAAGTATATTTCTTAATTACAGTCTCGTATTTAAATTTAAATATTTATTAAACATAAAAATTTGCGGTCAAAAGCTGGTCTCATCGTACATTCTTGTTCTAGGTTCAGAAAAAAAGAAGAGTTGTTGCGAAAGTACATTGCCGCAACATAAAGAACGAATGTCCGGAACCATCTTGTGACACTCCAACACTTCTACCCGGAAGATGTTGCAAAACTTGCCCAGGAGATTTAAACTGTAAGTAAAATATTTATATATTATCCTTTAAATGAAATGAATATATGCTGTATTTATTTAAGTAAACTAGTTTATTCCTATTTCTGAATAAACTCTTATTACTTTAGACGTTCCCACTATATCAAAATGACAAGTTCTTAATGGTTACGCTTCATGATAACGAATTTCCGCATAACATATCTAAGTACTAGCTTGTGTAATTTCAAATATAATTTAACGGATCATTTGACAATACTAAAAGAGCATCGCGATATCAATATGCTATATTGTATAGAATTGTAGACGGCGAATTACACATTATTAATGACGAGCATCAACAGGCCGGAGCGAGTTTAATTACGCAGAACTAGCTAGCAGGGCGTTTATTGGTGACTAAACTTGATTTCCTTTGCTTCGTTGTTAGATTAGTAGATATTACTCTAATACTAAGAACCTACCTACTAGCAAGCCCTGTTACAAAATCGTCATTTATAATTAACCATCTGAAAATAAAAATATGTATAATAAATCATTTTTATAACCTCTTACATAGTTACAGAAGATGTCGTGATTTTTGTTATTTATTAAAATATTTTAAATATTTTCGTTTGCGACGATAAATACTCATAATATATAAAATGGAAAAGTATTTCGATAATGCGAGTAAATATTTAAAGTAGAACATTCTCTGGTATGTGAAAACGATTAGAGCAGCTCGTTTAATAGACAGTGGATAAAGTCAATTGCGCCAATTCGATGTCGAATGACCTAAGCTTTCAAAAATTTGTAGAAAATCGTACGATAAACTAGCTTTGAGCTAGTATTGACATGTGATGAGTGACATACTTAGTTCTACACCTCAATTGTACCTGATTATCATATTTATATATTTTATCGTTTTTAATGTAAATATCATTCCTAAACTTTCTGTATTTAGTCAACACCAGCGACTTGCCCTAGTTTCGCTCTGGTGGGTCTCTAGGTAGGTTTTACTTTTTTTGAGCGGAATTCTAATCCTTTGTCTAAACTAAAACTAGCTTAATTACTCCTTATAACATCCGCTGCCTGCCAATGAAAGTCTCCTTAAAATCAGTCCAGTCGTTTCGTAGATTAGCCGGAACAAACAGACGGACATGCAGACAAAAAATTTAAAAGTTTTGTTTTCTTTTGATTTGTATTTTTGTATGTTTGTAACGAATAAACTCAAAAACTACTGGACCGATTAACATGAAATTTGGTAAGAAGATACATTTTTGACTGAAAATTCAGTTTGAGACCCTAGGAAGGACATAGGATATTGTTTTTCCCGGAAATCATCCCTTAAGGACGTGAAAATAGGGATGAAAGTTTGTATGGGGAATCAACCTAGGGACAAACCCGAGAGAAGCGAGAGTGAGTCGCTAGTTTCTTATAAGTACCGTATATAGTTTCATATAAGATTAGTGAAAAGCTTATATTTTGACAATACAAACAGACATTTCAATTTTATTTATCTGTATAGACTATAGATAAATATGATTTTAACGTGGCTTATTTTGCAGCAGCCATTTCAGTTTCAGTTTAATAGGACACGCGAATTTATTAACGACAATGGTTCGGCTCTCGACATCACGGCGTATATAATACGCTCATCATATGCTTGTCACGATGTCGATTCAATTTCATATCTTAAATTGGTGATGTCACTCTTGGTTTAAGCCGTAATATATATTGACTGATGTCATGCTTTTCCTGATTAAAGATTTGTTGCTAACTCGAAAGTATCCTCAGAGCCGGAACCGTTGTCGAGCATTTATAGCTCAGGTGATTTCACTTCTCCTTTTGTTAACAGAATGTTCCTTTTACGGTACATAGGCTTTAAGTCTTAACCATGTTAGACAAAACACCTTGTTAATTACATTAGAACTTTCTCTTCACTATTTTAAGATGTTGTCCTTTTAGGACGCGTTTGGTACCTGTTAGTTGGATTACTTTAAGATAAATACTTAAATATTTTCCTCAAATTACTAAATGTAAATGTAGTAAAGTTTTTACGAGAAATCATTAAAGTTGCAATATGCCGGCGACAAAAGGCTACAACTTTCATGTATTGACAGTTTAAATAATTACCAAGTAGGATTTTTTACATGACTCGATAATAGCAAGAAATTAATGTGAAACTTATTAATATTGTCAAGTAGGTAATGATTTATAGGTATCATCTTGATTCCGTCCGCAGCAAACACTGCCGCAACAGGTTGGTGACTCATGAGCCATCTGTCGCGAAAACTATCCACACATGTGGAAATTGACTGAACGATATAAAACTTTATGGATTTCTTTGATAATATCGATTAATATACCGTTTTCGGATGACCTGTCCCGCTTTTGTAACATGACACTTCAAAAAAATACTCAGTATACTACCTCTAGCTTCTTAGAATAAATTATGACAAGATATTCAATATTTGAATAAATTATTAAATTAAAGTCCAGCAATTTGCGACATGAGTATTTTAATGTCATTAAAATGAAGTAGAATTGAATTAGTAACTATTCTATTTTTTTTTCATTAAATGTCACTTGATTGTCATCGTTTATCATTTCAATACATGTTTTTGTCGAATCGGCAAATTCCATACTTAAAAGGTAATTGCAAATGTGAGAAAGCATGCGTACATGTAAAGTGACAGGAACTGGCGATGACAAATGACAGTGGACAGGCGCGGCGGCTCCCACGACTGATTCTCATCATTACCTACACATGGTTGTTGCCTACATTCGATCTGGATAATCATTCCTCCCCACGTTAATTCGTAATGCGCAATTACACGTCCCAATAATGAACTAAGAAAATATATGCGCCATTAATTTAAAAGTGAAATTCCTCCTGTTAAGTGCGAGTAGTGACAATGAATCACTTTCGAGGAACACACGAGTGGCGATCGTCTTTCACGCAGGGCGGTCAACAGCGACGCCGCCGCCGACAGCACGTCTGCGCGCATCCAGCGCGGGATATATCGAGAGCATTACAATGGCATTACTCAGATGCACCGGGCTGATGCAGAAATGGCACGCGCTGGTCCCCCCTGCGCCCGCGCTCTGCTGCAAATATAGCTGCTGGTGGTGGTTATTCCGGGCGCGGCCGTCGACCCGTCGCCGCGACGCCGTCTGCGCGCCTTTTTAGCGAACACAACTTACAACACAAACATTTTTTGCGAACAAATATCGCCGATGTCAATGTACGCGTTTCTTTTTCGTTACTCCTCGAGACATTCTCTTAGAATCGCAAAATTCTCAATCGTTACGAATGTGTAAATACTGCTCGTTCACTGTCTCGTTAATAATTAATTGATTGTCTGAGAGCGCGGCCTAAATTCGTTCCGCTTGCGTAGTGAGAACATTATAAATTAATTTTAAATTGATTAAGGTTGTTAACATCAAATTACTGTGACAAAACAATATTGAATTTCATTATGCACGCAGTTGTGTTTTATCCTCTGACCTTTTCGCATATGTAGATTGTAGATCGACGGGCATATAGCGTGGAACTGAAGTTATTAATAAAATATAGTATATTGCCATTTTTGATGTATAGTTCGATCATGATTTGAGAATTCAATTTCACGGCCGCTGTTCTGAACAGCCGTGAAGTCTATCTCAGCCCGTAACTATAAAACGTATCAAATCTGATTCACTATTGCCTTTGTGAGAGTCCAGCTGGCCGACTGCCGTGTCTACCGCCTCTTGTCTGTAATACAGTTTATCGTGCTTTTATAAATTCTCTTGCTACACCGACTCAGCGAAACGTATTACTTTTAATTGGTACTCTGCCAGGTGTTGAAGTAATAAAACTTGTATAAAGCTCATACCTCTCGACGGGAAGTATCTAGTAATTTTGAATTAATTACGCTCTTTAATTAAGATAAAGTTTCCTGAAATGTAAATACATTTATCTTAAATATCACACCTATTCGGTAATATATAAAAATGTTTTTAACTTTGGCATATACATATGAGATCATTTTTATTGCTTTTGAATCATATGATAGAATAGTTAGCAATAGTTAGGTAGCGCTTAGAAATGTAACAAAAGCTTAGCGTAAAGATGATAAATAATAAATAGTAAAAAGCTGGATAGCAATAACTTAAGAAGCCATAATAAGGGACGGGTCGGGTGCGTGTGCGCATGCGTCTACAGAGTGTTCATGGTTCATCGGATATCGTACCGCCGACCACTGAGCAGTCGATCACGAGTGTATCTAATTCAGTGTGCTGCATGTGCCTCCGAGGAATTTGTTTTGTGCACGCCGATGCCGCGTATAATCGACGTTTTATTTTCGTGAGATCGGTGTCCCTGCTTGCAACGCATTCTTCACAGTAATTTTGTTTGCGCCTTTTTCATTACCCAGCGAAAATTAACTTTGATGTCGGATCGAGCTCATTTTTTGGACTGTGTAACGATTTTTCTTAATTTGAATGATTGGTTACTGTGTAGGTTAAATCGGACGTTTGCGATCGTTCACGCCTCAGTTATATATTTATAGCTTATAAAAATGAGAATACATATCCCAGCAAATATGACTGCTTAAAAGTCTCTTCAATAAAAAATAAAAATCTAAAATGATTCTTGTAAAAAATCCTCTGAATTTCAAAGGGAAATATTTTTTGCTCTTTATTAGGAGATTGTCTCTTTAACGATAGTGGTGTAAAGTAAGTGTCTGTAACTAACTGTCGACTTATATAGAGGCTTTAGGCCATTGCGGTTAGTATACGAGTTTATCTTGAGTAATAGAGCCATCGTCTGTGGTGCAAATAGTATGACTCGCTGCCCCGCGACGACTAGCACCCGGCCCCCGCGGTGGCGCCACAACTACCAATTCTGATTTACTTCGAACATTAATCTCTAAATCAAAGCGGGTCATGTTTTACAGTAAATTCTATTCAATTTATCGCAGCACGTTTTGTGTTTTATTCTATGATGGATGCACTTGAATTGAATAATAATTGCTTAAATAGAAATATTTTAGTTAATCTTAGTT